CAACTTACAGTGTAGTAAGGGATATGGACAACACATGAATAAATGTCTTAATTCACTATCATTTTTATTGTGATAGAGCAAACCAAGTAGAGTGAAGAAATACAGAGAATGAGAAGGGAGCTTCCTCTCTTTTATCTCTCAAGAGATTTTCATGAAAACTTAGGTGGGACTGATTGGGAATTTAGAATGTTCCAGGATTTGGCAATTGCAAGTGCAGAGGCTATGATATGGGGAGAAAAGAGTGTGTCACATGACCAGAAAGGATGCCTCTGAAATGGAGCAGCAGATACTGGAAGCCAGCAAGAAGGCTGGAGAGAGAGGCAAGGTCATGCAGGCCTTGGTGTTTTTGTATTTAAGTGTATGTTCAGTACATGGTAGATAAAATCATTACCTTGGTTTCGATTTTCTTTAAAATTTTTTAAATTATACTTTAAGTTCTGGGGTACCTGTGCAGATTGTGTAGGATTGTTAACATAGGTATACACACGCCATGGTGGTTTGCTGCATCCACCTGCCCGTCATCTATATTAGGTACTTCTCCTAATGTCATCAGCTTCAATTTTCAATTGCAAAAGAAGAATAATACCAATCATATGAAAAGTTATTGGGTCACTTAAATGAGATGGTTCCTTAGCACCCAGCATCCTGCTAGGCACATGCTGGGAATTCCATATGTAGAGCTTTCTTGCCCTTTGCTTCATTCTTTAAATTCATCTCCTTTCAGCCACTCCCTCAGTGGAATCACACTCAGTATGGATAAGGGTATATATGAAGGATGGACAGCGAAGAGTCAGTGAAAGAGTAGTTGGACTTGGGGAAATGGGAGTGAGGAGGAGCAATGGTTTCCACACCGAAGGCAGGTTAAGGAGAGAGCGGCATCTTTTCAAAGCATCAGGACTCCTGCTGCGAGGTGGTGGGTGGAAAAGTTGGGGAGAGGACACATGTACCCTTTTGGTTTATGGGGAACTTTCCAACTGTAGAAATTCGTGAAGAAAGTTCATATGAAAACCTCATCTTCTATGGCCTAATTAAGTCTTGACATTCAAATTTCAAATGAATTTTGGGGAAATAACTTCTCAGTTTCTCATCATATAGTACTTGTTCAATATGAATAGAAATAATTAGTTTGCCGAAGTAATTAGCATGCCCAAGAATAACTAGAGACTTTTCCCCAATTTTTACTTTTAGATAAATGTTAACTATCTTTAAAGTGCCTTTGATTTCTTCTTTTCTTAAGAATCATTAGAAGGTGGGAAAATACGATAAAGGTGAAGGGAAAAGCAGGATAATGATGGAAAATGCACATAAAGAGACTGCCACATCGACCTGGCAGAAAAATGTTCTCAGCAGTGATTTTAGTTACCAAAACAGTAAAAGCTATTAATACTAATCTTATCTATAGAAGGCCAGCAGCATATGATTGTGTTTTTTCCAGACATTTCTGAAAGCCTACTTCAGAATAGTCATCCATTCTGCTTGAAGGCCCTTCAGAGTAAAGTGAGCCCACCAGCTCTGAGATCAGGCAGTCCAGAGACCGTATGGTGGCCCAGCCAGGCTCAGAGACTAACCTTCTATGGGTCATGTATCCTGTCTGATCATCAGTTTCCTCACCTGGAAAGTGAGAATGCCAAACTTAACTCAGGGGGTTGTTTGAGATTGACGCTCTAATTGTGTAGCATGCCAAGCACTTTCATTGGCACCTCTTAGGAACCTCAGTAAAAGAGGTAAGTCTCCTTCCTTTCCTTTTTTTGGGTAGAGGGATTGGTGGAATGAATGACAGCCAGAATCGGTTCCCAGAATGCCTGAGTTCTCAGCCTCCCTGGGGAATCTCTTAGCAGACGAGTCTCTGTTTCTACAGGTTTTTCTCCAGGGCAAATGGAGCAAGTTAAGCTAGATCACATAGAGTGCTTGGGCCTTACTTTGATGAGAACAGAAAAGTCCTGAGTTCTCCAATATCCCCTTTCAAGCACAGCAGCCTCTGGAGGTTCCAATGAAGCCGCATTAAACTGACATGAGTCCTCCGTTGTTATTTCAAAAACAGCAGTTGCGCTTTTACATGCAATACGGTAGGAATTTCATTTTAGGACCTTTAAAAAAGGGTTCTTATTACTGAAATGTTTCTACATTATTAGTCTAGAATGAAAACTGGATGAGCCATCTCAAAGGTGTCTTCCTCCAAGCCTCACAGACACTCTTACCACTAAAATGATTAGGAAAAGCAAACTTAGAATAAAACGTGGTAAGAGAGAGGATGAAGAGAAAAATGTCTATGTCAGTGACTGGCACAAAGCTGAACTAACCCTACTTCCCGCTATCCCAGCCAGACATTTCTTGAGTGCCACTCTTAGATATTTCGCTTTTGTTTTTGTTTCAATTGTCCTTTGAATGATGTAATCCCTAGGCTAATAGGAAAGGGCCACTTTTTTTTTTTTTTTTTTTAATTGCAATGGAGTTTCACTCTTGTTACCCAGGCTGGAGTGCAATGGCAAGATCTTGGCTCACTGCAACCTCTGCCTCCTGGGTTCAAGCAATTCTCCTGCCTCAGCCTCCGGAGTAGCGGGACTACAGGCGTGCACCACCATGCCCAGCTAATTTTTGTATTTTTTTAGTAGAGACGAGGTTTCACCATGTTCACCAGGATGGTCTCAATCTCTTGACCTCGTGATCCACCCACCTCGGCCTCCCAAAGTGCTGGGATTATAGGCATGAGCCACCATACCCGGCCCAGAAAAAGCCACTTCTGTCAAAGGAACTTCAAGTCCAAATTTAGTGAAATAGAAGAGAAAGTCTAGCAGCCCTTCCCTACCCCCACTGTACACCGTTCTCGCCTATTCCAGACCTGCCCTTGGGAGAGATGTGGCCAGTTATGAGACAAATGGGTATCTGGCAAAGAGAAGTCTCATCAGCAAATCACTCTCTTAAATGTAACAGAAGTCCTCAGCCTCTGTTACAACAGGCTCCTGGGAAGGGATGCTTCTTTGCCTTTTGAGGGTTACACATAAATCTGGGTGCTTTTCTCAGTTCTGACCCACACACCTCATTACGTCCTTTAATGAACTGTATTAAAATTCTTAAATGAAGCTTTACCATAAAGGACTACTAATTGCATTTATTTACCTTTAAAGTTCTTCAGTTGTTGACACTAGTGCAACATGCTTGCTTGCTTTATTGAGAGACAATTTTAATATCTAAAGATTTGTTAATATAACTATAGCATAGAATTAAGTAACAGATACTCTTCTGCCTAACTGGAGTGACAGCATCTCATGGTGGAGAAAGCACTGGATGTATGACTCTGCCAATGTCATTTTATGTCTTGCAAAGTGTGAGGATTAGATATGGTGATGTCTGTGATTGCTTTCAAATGCAATTTTATGTTCCCAACTTTACTTTATTTATTTAATTAATTTTTTGGAATAGTGTCTCGTTCTGTCGCCCAGGCTGGAGTGCAGGGGTGCCATTTTGGTTCATTGCAAACTCCACCTCCCAGGTACAAGCGATTCTCCTCCCTCACCCTCCCAAGTAGCTGGGATTACAGGTGCCTACCACCACACCCGGCTAATTTTTTTTTGTATTTTTAGTAGAGATGGTGTTTTGCCATGTTGACCAACCTGGTCTTGAATTCCTGACCTCAGGTGATCCACTTGCCTCAGCCTCCCAACTCCAACTTTAAGTAGATTTTTTTTTTTTTTACTCTAATCATCCAACAGATAATAGAAACATTTGGTCAACATTTTTGACTGGTGACGTTCAGTGCAATTAAAAATTCAATTCTGAACTCAACAGCTTCATGGAGATGCTCTGCAAGTGTGAGATGGAGCACCAGAAAGTCAGGCCAGATGATTATTTGAAGAGAGCTCTTCCTAGTGATTCAAGAATCCACAGTTCTGCATTCATGCAGAGGGGTTTATCTACTTATGAAATGACTAGCCCTTAACTATCAACAACATAGCAACCCCTGACATTTTAAACAAAGGGGTGCAAAAACAGTGTTAATTTAGATAAAAAACATTGCCTATGCCACAATAATGACTTAGGTATAAAGAGATGGTCAGCAGACCGTATGAATGTAGCCTGGTTATTTTTTCTTTCTCCCAGGTTCAATCATCTAATCTTTTATTAATGCTTCTATTTTAAGCATCTTGCTAGCCTTTCCGATGTGTATTACAGGATGTTTAGCAGTACTCACTAATTGCCAGTAGAGTGCCCTGTTTCAAATATGACACCCCAAAATGTCTGCAGTCATTGCCATAAGTTTCCAGGGGGCAAAATCACTCTGGGGTGAGAAGCACTAGTCTACGCGTACTTTTTTTTTATAATTCGGAATTTACTTTCTTAAGCATAAGACCAAGTGCTCAGAAATTGTTATTCTATTGTTATTATTCTGAACATTACTAATGTCTTTATTGATATAGGATTTCACAATTTACCAAGTATTTCCACTCACATTATCTGTGGAGATAAATGCATAGCAGTTTATTGTCTACAACAAATTAGAAGAAAGAGGCATGTTTTCTGTAACTGTCTCTGCATTCCTTTTTACTGTGTTTACAATCCTGCATGTTTCACAAAAGAGGTCTTGCCATGAGGAAGATGTATTTAGGACAAGTCAGGCATTGTGTAAATGAAATCTAGCGTAATCTTTTCAAGAGACATGAGAGAGAGAGAGAGAGAGAGAGAGAGAGAGAGAGAGAGAGAGATGTTTAATCACCTTGAAGTGATGTCCTTCTCTCATCTTCTGCTGGTAGGAGTCACATAATACCCGGTCCACCCATAGAAACCACACATTTACAACTAATCACTCACATGAGGCTTCAATGAAGCCCTATAAACCCTCTGAGCCCCTTGCCTCTTTAAAAGGTTCTGAAAATGATAATCTTTAGCCTAAACTGGACTGCTGCAGTTTTATCGTGCTGCATTATGTGAAAACTAGATGGCATTTTTGAAAAACAGAAAATGACATTTCTCCCACACTTCCACATCCTCCCTAGCCCTCTTACCTGCTTAAGGATTTCAGCAGCTGTTTCATGTGAACAATCAAATATCACATAGAACTCCTTGCCTTTCTTCATCTCCTTGAGTAAAGGCTTGGCATCTTTATTCCCAGAAGGCAGCTGGCGGATTTTGATTTTAATATTATATCTGGAGGGAGCTTTGATGAGCTCTTGTAGACGAATTAGACCTAGAAAATGACATCCAATCATGCAACAGAGACTGTTCTGTCAACAGTATTGTTTATTGCCATTTATAGTTAAACTCGTTTTAACTCCAAAATGTACCCAGTGGTCACCTTGCTAAAGGTTATACCCCTGCTCTCCCATTTGTCATTCATCTTTCTTTGGTGGATTATACTATTTTCCCTTTTGGGAATGTATGGCTTGGAAGCATAATTTTCCTAGGAGCATTTTAAATTTATTTAGAATGCAATTGTCCTTTCATCTTTCAGGGAATACCTCAAATTTTTAACAAATCAAACCGGCAACTGTCAAACTTAGTAAACAAAAAGTAGGTTGAAGTTTCCAAAAGTGTTTGATGAAATAGATCACATCTGCTTACTTACAAAGCCAATAGAATGCGAAGGTTTCTCTTGGCTGTAAACTTCTCTAAGTCTTTTATTAAGTATTTGTATATAACATACTCTTAATCAGCTAATTAGTTGGGTTGTTTTATATAATCTTTCAGTTCCTGCCATATAAACTATCTGTAAATGGCTCATTACCTTTTCTTGCTAATATATTTGAATGTTAAATTGAAAAATCCTACTTAATTTTTTAAAAAGCCCATGGAATTTTTAGAAATTATGATCATAAAAGCAGAAACAGAATTTAAAAAACATTCTCTATTGGTTATTGCAACAAAACATATATGCCTAACTAACTTGATGGAGAATGTTTGATTTACCACAGGTGTGGAGCTACTGATCTGCACCGTTTCCTAATATAAGTGCTTTCCAAGGAAAGAAAAGATGCTGTGTAAAAGCCTCCGTCTTATTTCCCCCAGTGTTAGCAGGTGTTCACTGCACTGCATAATGTTGGCTCTCACTCAAGGACTTCCATCAGTCTGAAAAATTGAGGTTTTCTTTTTTGGTATGCAGTTCTGTGCCTTCTGGGTTTGTTAGCTTTAGATAATCAATAGGGAACATTAAGCTTCATGAGTATTCAATGAAAATTGTGGTATGCTCTGTGCAAGATTCAGCATGGATTCCAGCTACTGCCAAACTTGAGGCATTTTTTTTTTTTTTTACTATAACATACATTTTTGTGTGTGTGTGTGTGTTTCAAATGAGGAAAAGTTTCTCTACCACCATAGTTAGGTTTGATTCTGATATACAGTAAATTTATCATGATATTGAACTTCAGAGTTAAGTGTGTAGGGGTGATAGAATGGAAGAGTGGTTGCTGTAGAACCTTATCTTATGTAGATTTAGCGTTTATTGTCTGATATGACTTGGCTCTGTGTCCCCACTCAAATCTCCCCCCAATTGCAATCCCCATGTGTCAGGGGAGGAACTTGGTAGGAGGTGATTGGATCATGGGGGTGGATCTCCGCCATGCTGGTTCTCATGATAGTGTGACTTCTCAGGAGATCTGATGGTTTAAACGTGTGGCACTTTCCCCCTTTCTCTCTCTTTTCTGCCACCATGTATGATGCTTCTTGCTTTCCTTTCCCCTTCTGCCTTTATTGTAAGTTTCCTGAGCCCTCCTCAGCCATGTGGTAGTATGAAACAATTAAACCTCTTTTCTTTATAAATTACTCAGTCTCAGGTAGTTCTTCATAGCAGTGTGAAAATGGGCTAATAAATCAACCTTTTCTCTTTTTACACAAACATTGAATTGCTAGAATAATAGGCTTCCTGGGTTCTTGCTCCTTTTCAAATCGGTCAATGCGGTTGAAGGCCTTCAGGTCCTGATAATCAGCCACTTGTCATCTCACTTCCAGAGTCATGTGTCCTGAACTACTAAGGAGCATTAAAAATGAAAAAACATATAGAACATGGAATCATGTATTTGTTATTTGTGATATGTGTTAATCTTTGAACTAATCCTGGGATGTAACCATTATTACTGTTATTTAAATGAGTAATTCAGAGCCCAGAATAGTTGAGTAACGTACAAAGATAGTTAAGAAGAATTTTGGATTAAAACTGCTGTATGTGAATCCAACACTTAATCTTTTGACGTCACCATCCTGCCTTATAAATACAAGATGTTGGTGCTGAGGGAAGAGATACGATGTAGGGCTTAGGACTTTTTGATGAGATGGGGGAAAAAATAGAGACCCCAGGCTGCCTGAGTTTCTCTCCTGTTTTCCCTTGTCACCCACCTGCTTTGCAATCACATAGTTGTTTTTTTTTTTTCATGAGCATGACCATAAGGGACGGTTTAATGTGGTCTCTAAATAACACGGGAAAAACATTTAAAAAGGGCATTTTGTGTGCTGCAATGAACTGCTCTCTTGTTCTTTGTTGAATAGAATGTCACATCTTTCCATCATGATGATTTACATATTTATGGGATTTAAAGTTGACATACATTTTCTCACTTCTTTCATTTATTTTTATGGGAAAACATTTGCTGGATGCTCATTAGATGCCAAGCTTCATGTTAAGCCCTGGAGGTGCAAGACAACACAACCTGCTTCAAAGTCCTCACAGCCTGTAGGAGAATTTTATCCCATCAGCTCTCTTCAGGTAGATGGGGCATCAATTACCCCTTAACTTTACAGATTATGAGCTAAGGCTGCTGAAGACCGGAGCAACTTGCTCAAGGTTATATAGCTAATAAGTGGCAGAACCAGGGATTAAGGCCAAATCTACCTTCTGATACCAAATCTAGGGCTTTTTCCTCCAAATCATTGGCCCCTCCCAACTTTTGGATTTCTTGTCAACTGGCTGAATGAAAAACTAATTAATTGACTGATTAACTATATTTATAAATAGCTGTATAAATAAACAAAAAGAACATTTTAGACCAGCACACAATATTAAATCCTCATTTGGCACACTAGGCCATTAGTCAACGTCACCCCCAAATGTGAATATTAACTTTTACAATTGTTCCATAAAAGAAAGTATGTTTTAATACTGATAGAGGAAAAAGGAGAACATCGCAGTCCAAAAGACTAGTTTCTAATTGGAATAAATTTACCTTTTACAAAAAACTCACTGTTAAACTCCTACTTTTCTCCTTTTGCCAGTATATAGGTAAATTGGCCTCAGAAAGGGGGAGGATCAGCAGATTTAAAGATTAGGGACCAAAACTAGGAGAAGAACAATGAACAAGGGAGTGAGTTTTACATTTCTCTTCCTGAAGCAATTGTTTGCTTCAGAAAAGCCTTTCTGCTTTCATTAGCAAATGATGGAAAATTTACAATTCAAAAGGCACAGCAGACAAAATTTAGAGAAAGCTTTCCCTTATATTTGCATTTTGCAACAATCCATCAATCATTTACTTTGCTTTGTAATGAATAGTTAAAAATTATTTGCTAAACAAATAATTACTTCAGAGGAAGGACATCGATTTAGGCACAACACCTAGCTTTGCTAATCCTCCCGTGTTTGGATGCCGCCCTGATGGAGTGACCCAACCCTGCCAGCACCCCAGTTGCAGTGAACGGTAAAGGTGCATGTCATGCTGATAATGTGATTTTTTTTCTGGCCCACTGAGATGATGGGAATTTAAAAATAAAACGTAGATAAGAGAGAGCCAGACAAACCCAACAGAGGGACATTTTACAATAAAACTGACTTGGACTCTTTAAAAATGTCAATGTCGTATATGGCAAAAGGAAGCTGAATTGTCTGAATCGAATGAGACGAAAGGGAGTTGGCAACTGAATGCCATGACTGATCCTGTGACAATTAGCAAACATATATTTTTTGCTAGTAATAATATTAACAAATATATATTTCTATATATTTAGATAACATTATTATGTTATTGTTAACTTTCCTGAACTTGATCATTGTAGTGTGGCTATAATGAAGAAGGTCCTTCCTAGGAAATTCATGCTAATGTATTTATGCGGAAAAAGGTCAGGATGTCTGCAGCTTACTTTCAAATGGTTCAACAGTGCTCCTGCTTAGTATTATTTTTATCGTTGTAGGTATTTCTACATTAAGAAAATGATAGAGCATTATAGCAAATGTGGCCAAATGATAAGTGATGAATCTAGGTGAAGGGTGTACAGGAGTTTATTGTACATGTCCAGCAACTTTTCTCTAAGTTCAAATCTTTCTAAACAAAAAGAAAAAACATACTGATATAAAATAGTATCATAAGAGCCTCTTTCTTCCGTTTCTATCCCCAAGAATGAAGTTGGAAATGCAACTTTGGTTGAATAAACGCTTTAGAGAAAGAAGGCTGTTTTTTTTTTTTTTTTTTTTTTTTTTCCCCACATGAATGTGAGCTAAGCTCTGCATATAGATACAACTTTCAAAAATATCCAAATGGCCAATTCTAAACACTTGCTTTGGCCGCCTGTCTACTCGGTGCACTCAGATGTGACACAGAAAAAAATGCTGATTTGCATGTATATCGCGTGACTCAGGCAACAGGTGGAGCATATGGAGGAGGAAGAAAAAACCCTTTGCTATTTCCAGTGAGCATTTAAAATGTCCCATGCCTTCCTTTTAAGTAAAAACAAACTTTGCTATTTAGATTGCCCCTTTTTATGAAGTTGGCTACATGCCTTATAAATAGCAAAATAAACCTTAGGATATACCTCTGAGGTGAATAGATGCCAGTGCTATTTTACAGTGAGGAAAGTGAGGCATGGTGAGGTTAATTGTTTGGATCGGCCCTGAAAACGGGTCACAAATGCCAGGAATTCGAAGAGACCTTCAGGTCAAACCCCTACTTGATGCATGAGTCCCTTCTACACAGGCACTGCTGAACACCTCTCAGTGTGAGAAATTCTCTACCTTACACCACAGTCCAATCCATTTCTAGTTAGCTTTAGCTATCTTTAATGAGTCTCCATTCAAAAGAAAAGCACCTGGGTTTTCTTGAGTCTTAATCCAATTCCCTGTTTGTAAAACCACAGCAGTGTGTTTGATGCTGTAAAAATAAATGTATCAAACCACTGGGACCCAAAGATCAGGTTGCACATTTTAAATGTTAATTTCTTCTCTACTTGAACTTGGAAATATACAAAATGGCATTTCATAAACTTGTGGGTATA